AAATTCTCTCTAAATATTATTAGTTGTAAGACATCATGCCATTTAGTAAACATGGAACAGTGGAGTGATGAACAACGTGCTTATGCTATAAAATCATTATACAAAAATAATGACAGTTACGTAGCTGCGCAGCGTTCATTTCGTCTTCAATTCAATCTTAAACGCCATGATTCGGCACCATCTGTCAAGGCAAGGCTATTTAAATATGGATAACCAACTTTGAAGACACGGGTTTAGCATTAAAAAATATATGCCCGTAAAAAAAAGCATTCATAAACATCACTGCTGTTAAGACCGCTCTCATAAGGAGTCCGAAATGTTCTGCACAAAACATATGTTTTTTTTAAAACTTGTTCAGTAGAAGTCTAGGTCGGATTTTACACAGCGACGTGTTTTTTTTTTCGTACAGGCTTCTTTTTTAATGTTGAACCCGACTCTTAAAAGTTGGTTACCCATATTTGAATAGCCATGCCGATAGTACTGAATCATGGCGTTCAAGATTAAAATGAAGACGAACAAATGAACGCTGTGCAGCTACGTAACTGTTATTATTTTTATAAAACAATTTTATCGCATAAGCACTTTGTTCAGCACTCCACTGTTCCATGTTTACTAAATGGCATGTTGTCTTGCAACTAATAATATTCAGAGAGAATTTTTACTTTAATTGCTACTGAGAAAATTTATCTTTGAAAATCGACCGTTTCAGTGCCCCACCCTGTATATGTATAAAAAATAGAACATGGCTACTAATATAGTAATATACTATACAGTGGTTAGTGAATTATATTCTAAACAAATTAATACATTAATTATACGTAATAATGTTCGTGAAATATTAATTATTGCTTTTATTTACCTATGTTTAGTTTTGGTTTAAAAAATAAAACAGAAAATGTTTCTAAAACACAATGTAGTTTTAAAAAATTAGATACACCATCAACAAGTAGCCATTCTACAGACAAAAACGTGTCTTATGGTCTTAACCATTTGTAAGTTATATCATTGATCATATATATATACGGTATATCCACTTGCTTGTAATTTTTCCAACAGTTTTTTTGTTTTAAGATTTAATGTTGAGGGTTGACGTATATTTAATATGGGTTATGTATTTAAGCAAATTGCTGATATCAAAACCATAAACCATTTGGTTGTAATTGTAGTAATTTACTTTTGGTTGAAGAGCGCAAAACTGGATTTTTAAGTGAATTATTGTTTACATGTAACATGTGTCACAGATATGAGGTTATTAATTCCAAAAATCCGAGTTCGTCTTTAATGAACGTCAATACAGCAATAGTAACGGCAGTTATAAATTTAGGGCAAGGTTTTATTCAGCTAGAAACTTTTTCTGCTATTTTGAATATGCCTAGTATGTGCAACAAGTTGTACCAGAAGCTACACGAAGATGTTTACAAGTTTATTAGTTAAACAGCTTGGGAGGCAATGACACTAGCAGCAGAGGAAAAGGCTAAACTGGCAGTTGCAAACGGTGATGTAAGAGAAGACGGAGTTCCCATGATAACTGTCATAGCTGATGGTGCTTGGTCGAAAAGAAACTACAAGTCTAATTACAATGCTTTGTCTGGAGTAGTGATTAGGAATTATTAAACTCACCAATGCATAAATAAAAAGACCAAGGCTTGAAACAGTGCTGGCTCTACGGTTTTCGGGGCCCCATATTCGTATATACATATTAATTTTTTTATTTATTAATTGTTTATAAAAATCTACGTTTGTTCATGTTATTATATAACTAAATAATATTTCGAACCGTCGTCGACGATGAACAATTTTACAAGTGCATGCGTGTTCAATACTTCAAAGCTTCAAAATGAGAACATTTTGCAGGTCGGATCAATGCCCGAATTTTCATTTTACTTTGAACAGTACTAGAAAATTACATTTGAAAAAAAGCAAATATTGTGCATTATTGGAATGCATATTTGAGATTCTTTAATTATAATTTTGAAAATTGTGTTTTGATCAGACCTGTGAAATGTTTTCTTCTTTTGAATAAAAAAAAACATATTTGCGCCGAATACGACGCGCAACGTAAATGTTTACTAGTGTGGGCGCGGCTTTAGAATATACAATATACATATATAATAGATATTCCGTGATATTATAGATGAGCGTTTACGATTATAATAGGTACAACAAGTTGTCAATTATAGGAAATGTTTACGGTGCGCGGTGTAGGCTGATAATTCTATTTTTATACTTTGTAATGAAATAATGAATTATCCGAGAGTACATTTTTGAAATGGTACACTTATAATAACTCCTTACTCTTTAATAACCAACTTTTTTTAAATTGAAAAGCTGAGTTGGATAAATAAACATTTTCTTCAGGGCATCTCGTTGAGATTTTTTATATTTTTAAAATAATTAGTTTTTAAATGTATAAAATGTCTAAAAAGTCTCCTATTTAAAAAATAACTTTTTGATACTTAATTTTCTGGTCAAACAGGAGAATTAATTTAAAAAATCTATTGAGGTGCTTTTCAATATGTCCTACCAAATAATTATATGTAGTTCAATCTCTATAATATTTATTATTGAACCTAGAAGACTTAATATAAAACACAATATAATCGATATTCATCATCATTTTTAACCCCTTAAAAAACAAAATTTTCAGTAACTTAGAAAAAAAAATTATAAATTTCACTAAATTTAAAAAATGGCTTGTTCAGCCTTAATAAACCGAGTTATATGGAGAAACAATTACTTATTACGAGTGATTAGATATATTGAACAACGTATGAAAGTAAAAAATAAATAAAGTTAACCTTTAAAATAAATGTTCTAAACATAAAAAAAAACTGCGTAAATATGCTATAAATAAAAATGAAATGCCAAAATTTGTTAAATATGCATTTTGCTCAGAAAACAGCAAAATATGCGAAAATATGCAGTTAAAATTTTTGTATTTAAATCTGTTATGAATTAAAACTAATTTAAATCTTACTTATACTATTCTGCGGTCATTATTAAGTAATATGCAAATGCAATACAAGTCCCGAACCCTAATAATAAAACACAAAATAATACAATAATCAAAACATTATCAGCATTAAAAAAATATCAATCGCTTAAAGGAGACGATATTACGTTCATTAAGAAATGGATTGAGTATTTCGGACAAAAGATGCTGTTCGCATTCATATTTTTATTTGAGTTGATTGAACTGTGTAAGGTGCCAAAATGCCATCGTCATTGCCGTTGCCAGAAAAATTATATGAAAGTTTTAATCTATTGTCATGCAAGTAATATATAACGAAAATCAAACAGGCTTTTTAAAATTATTTTGTTGAATAAAAATCCCCATAGGTATATATTTTACTTCCGGAGCTAATAAAAATACAACGCCCTTACGTATGTGAAATTATGGGGTATGTTCATGACTTTTTTTTTTATGAACTTAAGAGTATTCTTATACCAACAGTGCCTAGGGCAAGCATATATGTACACTTGCTTCCCTTTCATAGATCCAGGTTAGGTTAGATAGAACCAGCATTGACCATATTTTGTCGTTAAATGTTTGTATACACTATTTCCATGTATACCTTGTCTGTGTTTATTTGTCTAAAATTGAAATAAACAAAGTTTATTGTTATTATTTTAATTTAAATTATGAAATTTATGATAAATTAGCATTTGCGATTTACACATATAAATCAAAATCACTCATTATTGTGAGTAAGTGAAAAAAATCTGTGAGTAAAACTATTTTTCTATTAAATTATACAAGACTACAGTTATATTTATAAGACTCTTATTTAAATATTGTTACAGTTTTATTTTTAGTTATTAATGTTCGGTGTAACATTGATTACAATTCATTTAATTTTGTTACGTTTGTACAATTTTTTAATTTTTTTATTTGATTTTAAAATTTTGTAAAAATACTACTAAAAAACGACCAATAAAAACAAAACAATTTCCCATCATCATTTGAATAATATATGTCAAGTAATAATCAATCATGATCCAAGAATTAAAATTTATTAGTAATATTTTGATGCAAAATACACTTGAAACTTAATTTTAATCAAACAACCAAAAATATATTTTACAATTTTTTTATTTTTTTAAGTATTTTAACGAAATATCGGAAAAAAAAGTTTAACAATCAAATATTTAAAAAAAATTTAAAAGTGTGGGCAAATGTTAGGCACTCTGTTGTCATACTCATAGTGCATACTAAGAATATTATCAACATTTTATAGCTCAAGTTTATTAATATTCTTGTGTGAAGGTTTTTTATTTTTATAAGACTTAATTAGATTTCGATTTCTCGTGTAAATCTTTATTTGTGACCGGAAATTTTGTAATTTGATTTGTTAACTCTGAAACTATATAAATTAACAAATACAATATTAAATTAAACTATGTTAATTAATCAGTGTTCACTAATGACTTAACAGTTTTCTCGGTGTTAAATAGTATTGAAATATTAATATAATACTTACTAAACTGGATAGATGATATTTTCGGAATATGTTGTATTTAATTTTGGGAACAATAAAAGTAGTCTTCGTTCGGTGACGGCTGTTACGTATATATTTGTATATCACCAGGGCTTATTCTAAAGCGCAGTTGGGCTTATTTTGCGTATTTGGAAAAGGTATATGCGCACTTGATAATATAATTTTGCGTAATTGATTTTTAATTCGATGTTGTTTAGTGTTATTTTATACATTACATTATGATTTAAAAACAAAGTAAAAATGAAATTGATTAAAAAATATTAAAAAAAAAATAAATACTTTGAACACGAATGTAAATTGCTTTATATCTTTTAAATACATTACATTTTAAATGACTTCACATAGAAGCTACACATTTTATCATTTTTAACAACAATTTGACAGTATATTTTGAGATCATAGTTCTATTTTGATAGGCTTATTTAAACAAAATGCGTAGTTGATAAAAATCCTTAGAATAATCCCTGTATATCACCATAATAAAAATACTCGTAGGAGAAAATGCCTAAACTGAGAGAAGGATACCGCGAATTTTACGAGGAGAAGGTAGAAAGGGAACTGAACGAAAAGTACTCAGCTCGGATTAAAAATTACCGAAGAGCCCGGAAGCAATTTCTAAGGCGTGAAAAGCTAATAAGTACGTACCCTGTAAAGGTGTGATCCAACGGCTCGTTATTCGACTATATATCGCGCTGACAGACGCGCTTCTACGTAATCCCACGGCGCGTTTCCAGGCGTTTACACGCTCCGCGCCAATTTCCTTTTGGACGCGGGACACAAAAACCGACAATCATCGGGAACGGTTGCGCCGCGCCGCGCTTACACGAGCCGCACCGCGCCACACCAGTCCCACGACGCGTTCGTTGTACCGCGCTATACTAAGTCATTTGCCGTGGGATCGCACCTTAAGACTGTTACCACCCAACTACATTCTACTGTTCTAATAACACTGCATTTTTTTCTTTTTTTCCTCAGAAATTGTAAAAAATAAAAGAACCATTGATAACACGGGGCCGCGATGGTACCAAGAGCTATCAGTCAATCAGGTCAGACACATAAACACAAAATTGAAAATATGTTTTTACAAGTATTTAAAAAAAAAAAAAAAAAATCAACCGGCCAAAAAATAAACCTTCAGAATTGCCTATACAGTGTTCATTTCAGGGGTGATTGGGGGGGATAAATTATACCACCGAAAAAAAAAGTATTTATTCTCTATCATAAAACCACATAACCGTTCGAAAATGTACGCCCCCCTTCACGGCATAGAAGGTCTGAAATAAACACTGTGCACACTGATCTTTTATAAATAACTAAATATTGTGACGTTTACACGATTATTATTTTTTAATTTGATTTTAAAATTTTGTATTTTCATGGGATAAAATTATTTTTCTATTTAATGTTACATAGTCTATGCTAAGTATTTTGGTTTATTAGTTCGTATCAACGCATATTTTTTGCGACTTTACGACTATTACATGAGTCTTTGTCAATAACTATGATAATCATTTAGAATATTTTTAATGGATATTTCAAGCTGTTTATACGGCTTTAATTAAACACGTCAATAAGTTGATGCCTTGAGATTTTAAATAAAAAAATATTTATTTATATATTTTTGTAAAAAAAATTTACATTTTCAATTAATTATAAATCACGTGGTTTATTTTAAAATAATTCACAAATCACACGTATAATTGACTTTTAAAAATTAATTTACTTCGACTGCAACCTTGAAGTAGTGTATAAAAAATATCGTGAAGTATAAGCTAATTAAAACTATATTTTTTCAAAAAGAACTTAATAAGTTGCTTATATTTTCACAAAAAATAAAACCCTTAAGTTCTAAATAATATGCCATAGAATCATTCGTAGTAAGTAAATCAGATCAAATATTTGTGTGGATGAATATTATTTAAAAATCAAATTAAGACACTATATGCATATTTTTTTGTATTCCAATCGTTACGTTTTTTCCATCTAAACTACTGTTATGCTGTTTAGCTGTGATATGATTACCACTTTATTGAAATCAATTATCATTTACTTTATAAAAATTACTTGTAAGCAGATTGATATCTTGGATAAGTTTCGTAATAGTATGAGGAATGACTACGATGTGTGCACGTCACAATACTCAAAACACGCGATCAAAACTCTTGGAGTGCGCACTTTTATCCCGGATACCGTGGCTACATACGCCAAGGTCGTCAGCGAACTTGACCCGGTTTTTTATTTAATGGAAATAAAAAATTACGTGATGAAAATGAACAACCGTGTACAAATTGGTGAATAATAATAGTTTTTAAAATCAGTCTCCTGAACAATTTAAAAAATGTTATGATTGAACCAAATGCATCCGCAGAGGGTAAGAAGTAGGGTGCATATGCCCCCCTTGGCTTTTTCATAGGTCAATTATCACAACCATTATGTAGTATAAAATATCACAAAATAAATATTTTTTTAAATTAAAAACATTTTTTGAAACGTTGAATGCCACGGTCGACACTTAGTCGACAAATGTTATGAGGATCTTCATGGGCGTATTACATATTTTTTTCATTGTTGCGCCCTCTTAAATCATCGGTTTTCGATGCACTGTTTCGAATTTTATATGTGAATATTTAAATTTAGTAAATATTAAATGGTTTGGTAATAGGTAGTTCTTTATTTATTTTATAGAAGCTAAAAACATTTAATTTTATAAGTAACCTCAAAATATCAAATCAATGGTTTTATTTTATTTATATAAATAAAATGCATTTTTGATTTAAAGTTACATATTAATTAATTAAAATTAATACTGTAAGATCAAATTCTAACGTTCTAACTATACACATAATTAATAATTTAATTTTTTACGTTCCCTACTTATATATGATAGAAAACACGTCAAAAACAATAAGGTACTTTATCACTAATTAGATAATGAAACAAAAATTAAAAAATTTAAATACCTTGCCCCCTTGATAAATTCCTGCGGACGCCCTGGATGGAAAATATTTCTTTTCGACCCATGACACAGAATCACACGTGGACTGTATTTAGTTCTTGTTGAGTAAATATTATATTTATCGACAATTTTACAAAATTCATTAAAATCATTGCATAGGTAACTAAAAAAATTACATCAATTGGTTTGGTTTTCTCATCTCCGCTTCCAGTAAAAGTTTATGAATGTTATTACGGCTATTGTGTTTGCTTGAAAAATATACTTAACACAATTTTTTCAGGCCAAAATAATAATGCAGTTAAGTATTCAGTGGACGTGCGAATATTAATGACTGGTATTGTTTACCTTGAATTTCCAAACTTAATCAAAAGGCTGGATTATTGCCTACCAAAACCGGTACCTGACAAAATGCGTAAGGATAGACGATTACTGAATATTGAAATAATAAATAATATTTTACCGTTATATAATCTTTATGTGCTCTCAGAGAATACTTAAATTTAGTTTAGTCTTAATAGTATAGAAATTATTGTTTTTTTATCTCAAATATTATACAACTATTTATTATAATTTATAATATTTTTCTTCTTCTTGGCTTTATGACTCTCCAAGAGTCTTCGCCGCCACCGTCAAAGTAATTTATAATATAATAAATATTAAATATATAATATTTATAATTTTTAAACGAACTTTTTCTACTGTAGTTCTGATGCTATAATATTTAATATTTTGTCTATTGATATTTGAACCAAGTATCCATTTTACATTTAATTTCCAATAAAATAAACAATATACCAATAAGTAATCAAGAAATGCAAAGCGTATGTATACACTATACGTTGTATACATATACTATGTATATATACTATCGCTCCATGTATACTATTAGAAATAATATTATTATGTAAATTTGATGTTGATGAAACAGTCGTTATCAAATTATGAACTTGAAATAGAATTGTGACGAATGTGAACGTCTTAACACAGTAGTTAAATTTTGATTTATGATTTTAGTTAAATATATAAGACTACCAAAACGAACACTAATCAAATATGATTCTCCCTATTTGGAACCGTTACCTGAACCCATTATTTCGAGGACCGAAGAGAAAAAAATTCAGTGGCACAACATGAAAGTAAAAAAACAAAAAATGAGTGAACAGTTAAAAGTCATAGAACAACAAAAGCTTCAAAAAACAGAGGTAAAAAACATATACACGTATACGGAACAATAATACTAATATTGCTACTAATATATAATTACTTACTATGGATGTTGGTAACTGTCTCGAAAGTAACTGTAACGAGTTTAGGAAACTGTTAAAAATTTGACGCGAATTTTCAATAAAATTCTACATTATTACAACATTTGATTTGTAAATGCGAGTACAACGTGTACCTATTTATAAACGTGATTTAATCAGAAAAAAATAATTTATAAGGTAAATGAACTTGGCTATACATTTGCAACGATTGAGGCAGTGGCGGCGCGAAGGGGTTATATTTGAATTACACGATTCATGAAAAAATGGTGGTAGGTGGTCTTTGTAAAAAGAAAGCCAAGAAAATAATTATTTAGAAAGAATAATCATACACTGAACACATTATAATAATAATATGAAATGTTAAATACTAAAATTTAACTTATAATTTATACAAATAAATATTTATACACGCAGTTACTTCGTATAAATATTATTGGTAGGTGGGTGGGTAGATAATCCTATGAAACTGGTGATTCGAGTAGAAAAACTTCCCGTCGCCACTGGATTGAGGCATGTCATTATGAGGTGTGGTTACTAAATATCGTTAAAAAAAAAAATTAACATTTACTATATTAAATTGGTTGTATACATGTGAAAAACGAAAACAATTAGTCGTAGAATTGGGTTGTATTTTTAAATCGTACCACAACGATTTGATCTTCTTTAATAATTCAATTACTTGACTAGCAAATAACAGCAAATAGTTCGGTACAAATATTCAAAAGTGAGATTTTTAATTGTTCGTATTTTTCATTCTGCTTACTATAAATAGAAATATAATATAATTTTTGATTTCTATGATACACATTTTCAAAATAAAATTAAGATGGTTAAAAAAAATCCTACACAACCTATTTAATCTGTGCGAGGTAAGGGTAATTGAATAAAAGTTTATAAAATGTATATTACCTGTATGTTACTTCTCTGTAATACGTCAACTTTTACCAATATTTTGCACATATTTAACGGTTGTAATCATACACAGACTGACAGGTTAGGTTAGACACTATGTGTTTTAATATGTACATGTGTTTACATCGAAAAAATAAAACAATGATGATGTTTTGATTTGTGTAGACGGAAAACGAGAACTCAATAAAAGCACGAATGAAAATCGAATACCCTGAACATCCATTGCAGAAAATGTTATATCGGCCACCGTTAATGTTAGGATCTATACAAGAAGACGAAGAACTGATTATCGAATCTCACTCATCCGAATCTATTTTTTTCGGTACATGCCAATAGTGTGTTAATATTACCTACTAATACCGACCAAACAGTATGGTTAGCGATATTGAGAAATGAAAGTATTGCTAAGTTTTAATCAGAAATGAAGAATATTTGTTTTTAAGACGTTTTCTAACTATCCATCCGACCGTTAGTATTGTGACACTTCTGATTTGACACTATTGTCACATCCAGCGTTGCCTGTCAATGTATAGAATTCCGAAAACGGAGACCGTACCATCGCTGTTAACTCATTTCACTGACGACTAAAAAGACACACGTCACTTACGGGACGAACTATAATGTACTTTCATGAGAATATGTTTTATTGGTGTTTTTTTTCTTACGATTTCCGTAGCCTGTGTATTACCTAGTGTCGTATCTGGACATTTTATTTGATTTCTTTTTGAAGGGTTAAGGCTGATCATTTATGTATCATATTACGAAAAAAAACCTATATAATAAGTGTTAAATAAGTATTAAGAAGAAAAAATAACATTTTAAAAATCTAAATTTTAGACAGTAAATCACTTATGGGTTATACGTTTGATTATGGAAACAGAGTATGGGGGACTCTAATATTTTTATATTATTTGAGATTAAGATGCTACTACGTAATTTAAGATCCTCTGAATCATTGTGAGAGAGCTTGCAGCCCCCGTTACCTTGAATACGTCACTGGGGCACATCGAAAGTATAGTGTGACTTCGTATTGTGTGTTATTAATACAATAGGCTTATAAACAAGTAGACCAGGGACGACCAGGGAACATCAAACTTATGAATTCCCGTTATATTCGAACGCAATTAATTCATTTAGCGGGGTAATTCCCGGTCTCTGGTTTATAATAATGATAATGAGAAACACGTTTAATTATCGCAGAAATGGAGGAGGAAGACACGTGGTCTCTAGAAGAGATGGATGGCGGACGTGATCCGATTAAAATGCCGGTCCGAAGCTCATCACTGTTCACGTTTTCCGATTCGGAATCCTCGCAGAGCACAATGTCCGTGATCGAGCAACTGCCGTCGTCCTCGTCATCGTCCAGCGGCAGAGAAGAGTCGACCGACCGGTTACCTTACGGGTGGCTAAAGGCTGATCTCTCGGTACCGTACGACCCGGCGAGTTGGGCCGACCAGTCGTCGTCGGACGATGACTGGCTAGCCGAGAAGAAAGCATTGAATGTGACGCAGACGGCGATCGATATTGACAGCGCTAACTACGAAACGTCCACGTCGTCCGTTAACGGCCGGTAACGAACCCGATAAACCCGACACGGTCGGTCGTAGTTGGTCACGGTTCGGTATTACATTAGCATTCCCGGTGAATCGGTTACCGCAGTATCGCGTTTCGTTACCACGTCACTCGATGCATCTGGAAGGACAGTAAACAACGTTTTTTCGTCCTAGTTGTTCGCTTGTATTTTCCCCTACTTTGGCATCAAACGCAGCGGTACCAGTTTGTTTATTGTTTATATTTGTCGTCGATTTTCGGATATATTTTATATTGAACAATTTACGTTCGTTGTTTTAACACGATTACGAGAGTACAGCAAACCTTCAACGGCTTTCCATGCTGTTAAAGATGCATCAATGCCGTTCGCATAAATCTAGTACCCCTGGTCAAGTGACTCGAATCGCGCCAATGTAGGTACTTGCTCCACTATATGATCACCTTTATGATTTACGACGCTCGCTCAGCAGTATACTCATCATACGAGATCTCGTCATAATAATTTAACGTTTTAATCGATTCGAATAGTCGCACAGTGGGTCAAAATATAAAATAATGGGAATAAAATTTTTAACAACTTCAAAATATTTAAAAGTTGTTTTTAATGTTATTCAAATACCATTTCACTTATATATTACAAAACTAAGTTGACATTAAACAATTTTTTATTTTTATTTTTATTTAAATTTTCACAGCTTATTATTGCTATTATTTTTAGTGTTACTGTTATATTGTGAACTTGTTCATTATTTTGAGTTTCATAATCTTCAAAATCGCGTGCTAGAAGTAATTTTGCATCTGGTAAAAGTGTTTTTGGCTTATAATTATAAGATTTTCTTAAGTAAGATATTAACAGATCTGATGATATGAGAAGATTATTGAGTAAATCTGTTATGGTAATTCGCTTATTTCGATAATCAATAGTTTTAAATATACGAGTTATGGTATGTTTAAGTAATCATTGCAGTTTTATTTCCGCATTTAATTTATTAATACAAATTAATCAAGGGTGCAACTACAGCCCAAATATTGGGGGTGTTGAAATTGCTGAAAACAAACTGTAATAATTATAGATTATATAGATCTGAAAAAAAACAAGAGTGCTATATTTGAATTCAGGAGTACTAAAAACCCTATTGTGTCCCCCCTCCCTAATTGCGCCTATGAAATTGATTCATCACTGGGGTGACTAAAATGTTTTGATTCTCAAACTAAATTATATGATGTTTGCATTTTTATTTTTTGCTTGAAAACGAATAAGGTTATATTGATACTATTGGCATCTATAACCATATTTTTTATATATATTATTTTAGAGGCACGTGTTACAGTTGTCATAGTAGCTTCATTAATTATTTAAACAGCCTCTAATTGACCAGCATTTTGAAGAACAATTTTATTTGCAAGAGATAGTTTCTTAGAAAGCAGGATCAGTTTTTATTAAATTTAGTATTTTTCTTCTTTTAATTTGTTCACTGCAGTCTGAATATAATTTTTTTGGCCGACTTCTTGAACAACCAGGCGTAGGCTTAGCCAATGTTTTATTTGAAATGTGGTTAGAAAATTTGAATTTTAAATCTAACCAAGAGTTAAATTTACTATCAAAAACTGTACGAGTTTACGTACATTTAACGTACATTTACGTACGTTTAACTGTACGATTTTAAATTTGCCATTTTCTATAAAACTCAGAATAAAATCTGTCAACTGATTTTTTAAATTTATTTGTAGCTTCTGGTATATTATTTTTATTTAAAATTTATTAAATAAGTTCGTTTTTTATTTGGGTTTTATTTTTATTACGAGAAAGTAAAACGGATTGATACAATTCTCGACGTGAAATCTTATCAATAATATAAATAATAATATATTTAAATTTCCATAAGTTTCAAATAGGCAGTTATTGGCAGTTATTGACATGTATATATAATTTTGTATAAGTTTTACCAAAAGAAGGTAAAAAAGAAATAAGTCGGGAAGTGCAGGGCATTTTTTATAGATTTAAAATATAATTATACTATCGGTAAAATTGTAATAGTATGTTAAGTTATATATATACACTATTCTAGTAATATATTTACATTAAATAACTGCTTTTTTTAGTAAATATAATACAATTTTATCTAAACTAATTATCTGCGCAGAATTCACGATAATTATAACTAGAATTTGGATGTTTATGACGGCATATTTTTTTCGCGTAACCAAAATTATACCCTAATATGATATAAATTCGATTCGTGAAATATTGATTGCAAATATTCAAACTTATTTTGCATATATTTGTATGTTTGAAATTTTTGAGCATATAAATGCATATACATATACAGTGTAATCCTAATACTTAAAGTGCTTAATCTATGTAAAATTTAACTTAGATAAATTTTTAAACTAATATATATATAAAAAAAATAAATAAATTAATAAATAAATATATTATATATTATATTAATTAATTTTTTTATATATATATTAGCTGTGTTTTTTGTAATAAAGTAATTTTAAATACACATTCGTTTATACATTCAAGTATATACGTTTTTTAAATTAATATTAACTATTTTTTTGCATATATTTGTCGAAAAAATAGGAATATTTAACACATTTTATGGCATATGAGTGCATATTTTTATGAAATTTTGGTTATTAACATCCGAGCTCTAATTATAACAAATTAATACAAGAATAAATTGTTACGTGCCACCGGCTCGATTTAAAATTGTGCAGTCGAAGATGTATTTAATTTTAATTAATTAGACATAAGGCTTTAACTTTTTAATACATTTTATACGTTTATTGTATAATTCAAAGTGTTTAACAAAATTCTGATACTGAGTGACGTGAAGTTGCTTTTAGTTCCGTGACTAGAACTCATCTGAATTGTGTTCGTTTTCATCAACCTTTTATATTGCTCCATTGACGTTATAGGACTTGTTTTGGCAATATTCAGCGATAGGCCTTGTTCCTAATATAATATGCTAGGAATATAGATTAACATTTGACGCACCTTCCAATTATTACTCGGCTTACGACCAATTAGTTAAATATAATAATATGCTGTCTTACGCAATTTATATAATATTGTGTTACACATCTTTTTCTATTTATACATGGTTAGGCTATACATAGTAGCCCATAATAAAATAATATTTCGATAAATGTAATATTTTATTATAAAACGTTGAATGTTCGTACAACGACTTTGTGTAATAATTATATAGAATGAACGAGATATTTATGTTACTTTGGACACAATTTTATCAACTTATGTATATAAGAATACCTTATCTAATTACATTAAATAAACATTTATCTTAGTAGTTTTGTTTTTCTATTTTTGTCCCATTATTTTATATTCTGGCCCACTGTGAGTCGGTCCGCTGGCCTGGGACAGTGTCGCAGTAAATGTTATCAGAAAAAAAACTCTACCACGAGAAGCCGAGAGTTTTTGGGAACCATGTTGTTGATCGTATTTCTAGTTATCCCAGTTCGGGATCGAGACGATGTTCGTGTGTCTGGTGTGTTAGTTAATTAATTTTCCGGTAATTACATCTTATTTGTTTCAATCATCTTGTTGTCGCACAATTACCCGGTTTAAATCACGTTACTGCGTTTTGAAACCTTCCGAGTTGATCCGCACAAAGGAAAACGTTTTGCAACGCAAGCGATATTTTAGTCGATTAGCCTATGTTGAATTAATGGCGCTCCATGGCATCTATATTGATTCGTAAGCGCCAACAGTTTTTATATAATAATGTGTATAATATGTAATAATATAACCCCCCCCCCCCC